GGGGGGGGCTCTGTCTTATACCTGAGTGAGCCATATGAGCGGCATGGATTGTGTATTTAAAATAATCAAGCACAACCCAAACCGAGCCTATAGTCCCCCTCGGCGATCACTGAGCGGGCCAGGCCACCGAGAAATGTCCTGGTGCTCCCAAAGACCAGTCCACCCCTGGGATTGGCTCAGTGCCTGTAGCACCAGTCTGTCTGCTCTCTTTTGCTGTGCTCTTTTGGAGCATTTAAAGAGTTTAGAACATTAAGAACATTGCAAGAGTGTGGGAATAGATTATAAAGCCTTAAAATGTACATAAATACTAAAATAAATATACTGTCCTACTTCACGGATTTTCACCTATCGTGGAGGTGTCTGGAACATAAACCCCCCTGCAATAAGTGAGGGACTACTGTAAATTAGTTTGTCGTCAATTAATAATGTGCTGTATGTGGTACGCTTGTTCTCTTGAGTTTCCATTTTGTTTGTTGTGTCAAATTAGGGCAAACTGGGCATGGACAGGCAGCAACTGGAGGCTCAAGTCTGATTGTAGAGAAGCAGAGCAGGGGAAGAAAATGACAGTTAATGAGGAGGTTTGTTTTATTTTATAAACAGGGAACATTAAAAAAGAAAAGAAATGGAGAGATGCCTGGCTATTGCTGCGCTTTCCTCACTTTGTCTTTGAGGCAGCTCCACTCGAGATGCTTCTTTATCTTCCTCCCTCTTATCTTACATCTATCAGCCGTTTTCTTCTCCTGCATCTCGTCCACTGAACGTTTTAAGACTAATGGAGCCCCAGCAGACTCTGCTGTTTTTGCAAAAGTGAGCCACTAAGACAGAAAAAGCTAAAAATATAGAAACATGATTTGCTGTCGGGTGAAGATGAAAACGTGAGAGGAGAAAGAAAGATGGAAGAAGACCCTCTCGTTAAATTCAGCATTTGGCCTTTTGTCAAACTGTGATTTCAATATAACAAATTATAGAAACAAGACTTTAAATAAAATGTTTTAAAACCTGTTTTGGCAGGAACGATCTAAACGTCCCGCTCATGACCTTTAACCCCTCAGAGAAAACCCCTGATTGTTTGGACAAGAAAATCCCAGTTGGCTAAACAGAAATGTTTTAATTTGTTTGTTTGTTTTTAAATAAACACTTTTCTGTCATTAAAACTGTTCAACAAAAGAAACTTCTGAAATAATCACTAGAGGTGGTCACAGAATGAATTAATGTAGCCGGTTTATTTTTTTATTTTTCCTCTAAATCTAAAGTGTTTAACAGTCTTTAACTTTATTTTAAAAAAAATTAAAAGAAAATTAATAATTAATAACACATCTGTTGAGGCTTATCACCAGACTTTAGTCTAATCTCACATACATATGAAAAGTATACAAACTTGGATTAATTTTACATATTTGTCATTATTTTAGCTAAAGATGCATCAGTTTTCAGGAGACAGTAATGGTTAGTTCACCCTGGTGCTTTTATTCTTAATTAAAGTAAATAAGAATTGTTTTAAAATCTTTAAATCTATAGAAATGGGTAAATAATGATCCCCTGAAGGAAACAGATTTATCAGAGCAGCAGACAGTTAAATTGTATTAAATGCAAACAGTCAATGTTTTTATTTGGCTGCTTTTGTCATAAACATAAAATGTTAACATTAAATTAAAGATTACATAACTTCTAAAAGGCCCAACTAAAAATAGACAGTTTTAACTAGGAATTGTTTTTTGTTTTTTTGTATTTAGGCAATAAAGTAAATAAATCTGTAGTGTGCAAAAAAAAAATATATATATACTGAGAGATAGGAGTTCTCCTGTTTAAATAGTTTTGTTATAGCGTTTAAAAAAATATATATGTTCAAGAAAACTCCTAAATATGAATTTCAAAGTACATTTCTCAGATCTTGACCAGCAGCCATTTATGATTCCAAACTTTAAAAGAAATGATGCACACTAAGCAGGAAAACTAAAATAAATGTTAGAAGTGACAGTTTTCTTTTAAAACTTTATTAAGAAATTTCATGTAACTGCAACTAAACTGCAAAAAGACGTCAAACGCTTCAGGATGTTTAAGAACTGCTGGTTACACTCACAGAAAATGTGCCGCACCGACAGGTTTTCAGTCTGGAAGAGAAACGGTGAAAGAAAGCTCCGTGGAAGCTTCTGGGGGAGTTTTTGTCCGGTTGGTGTTTCCAGCTTGGCTCACCGGACTGACTCTGTGCAGGTGTCTGGAAGAGGAAATGATATTTTCACGCAGCGTCGGAGTGACTCACGAAATGTTTACTGAGTGAATGTTTGGCCGATGACACACAGAGTGATGTTGGAGCCGCAGAGATGGAAAACGTTTGTTTGGCACCGCTGCTCTGATGTCACGCCGAAAATCCTGTTGGAGACAAATTCACGCTGCCTTCATTTGGTGTCACTTGATGCTTTTGTTTCTCGAGTATTATTTATTTATCTGCAGGTGCTGCAAACAGAATGTCTTTCTCCTTTGGATAACAAATGTCTCAGTTTTTACTGAAGCAGTACATCAGTGACAGGAGATGCAGACACTGAACACGAAAAATAATAATAATTTTAAAAAAAACTTTTATTAATAGCCAGTTTTTTAAATTTGGCTATCAATTATTTTTAAATAGCCTTTTTCTTTATCTTGCTCTCGGCGAAGGCGGATGCATTTTCCTCCTGCTCCTTCCCTGCTCTAATCTTTGTGTGACCCCAATTTTTCAGAGCCTCTCTTTGCATATCTTCTAAATTGTAAATTATGGATCTGGTCAGCTGGTCTCTCAATGCAATTGATCAAAATTTCTTAACGAGAACACAGGGTGAAGGAGAGCCCTCCTGCCCCGATGGGACACTGGCAGCCGGATACACAATGGATTCCCGGGGGAAGTGGAAGGTCGTGGGTCTGTCCATCTTGTTAATCGAGGATGTTGAAGATTTCTACGTAATTGGATTTATCATAACAGGATTTCTACTTTTTGGAGTTGGTGGTTACCTGGCATATCAACAAATTCCGAAAACGTCGGCAGCTGTTCTGGCCATTGTGAGGCTGCCCGGCATGTGTGAAGGAATGTGCTGTCAACACTCAGACTCAAATGCTGTGCAAACTGAGCCGTAAGCTGGATGCGGTTTCTTGCTGAGAATTGTAAGCTACTTGTGGCTCCTGGATCTTGCTGGCTGGAAGGAAGAGATCTCGGAGAAGTTGTAAGTTCGACTCGGAGTATGTAACCACAAATTTGGCTGTTTGGAGTCACCATTGAGACGTAGCAGTGAGACTGTAAAAGGCAGATGAAAATTAACAGAGCTCGGCCTGACCCAAAACAACTATTGCTATCTGAATCTGGCACCCCCCGGCGTCAACCTTGGAGGGTTGACTATCTCAAAATCTCCTGGATGTTATGTGAACAAGACCCCCCCCCCCCACCCGCTCCCTTCCCCAAGGACATGGACCTGTGTCAGAGCTATACTGAGCTGGATGATAAACGTTGCACCATCAAATATCAGGACTATGGTGGGGGCGGGGTGCTATCTGGACAGTGCTCACAGTCTACTTCCCCTCAAATTCACTGCCTTCGCTGGCCTCCCTCATATAACACCCCCACCCCCTTCCCGATGCAGCAACCTAGGTAGATGCGACGGCGCCAGTGGCTGCGTCTCTCACTTGGACAGTCTGTGCTGGGACCCCCACCTTCACCCACTTCACATGCATATGTCTTTATGTCACCAGTATGTTGCTTTTTCTTGTGCTGAGGTGTTTTTTTTTTTTTGCAACCTCACACAGTCCCGTCAATGACAGTGTGAGATATGATATATATACCTCCCCTTCCTCCTCTGGATCCGGCTCCAGTTTTTCGAGTTTCCCTCCAGTGTTCGGTTAAAGTCCGGTCCTCAAAGTTTCACCGTGGTAGAATCCTGCAGCCTTTCATTTTGATCCGTTCAAACCGGTTTGTGTAACTCTGACTCACAAGCTGTGAAATCAGAGGAGAAACGTGCAAATTGTTGACGTCTCATCGTCTTTGCACAGAGTCAACGTGACGAGGGCCCACCTGGCTCTGCTGACGTCTCAAAACACATCTCGACGGTCTGTTAACTGACCTGAAACCAGAACCAAAACCCATCAGATCAGGACAAATAGAAGGCTTCCCCATCCCTCTGTATCTACAAGCTTTAGTTTATTAATAAAACTATGACTGTGCACATAGAGGGGGGTGTAAATACTAGTTGTTTATCTTTTAATTATGTTTTTTAAATCTTTTTAAGCCTGTTGATGAGCAACAAAGAAATGGAAAAGTTCAAAAAGCTCAGATTTTTCTACAAACCTTTTTTCTAAATATTACAGGCAGGTTTTTGTATAAAGATGAAGCATTTCTTCGAGGAATGCCTGTCGCCCGCTGCCTGCCTGAGTGAAGAAACTGCCGTAGATGTTTGTGTCAAACACTCGATCTCAGTGTTTGTTCTCAGAGTTAAGGAGGACTCTCAGCTGCTACACCAAGCTTGAGTAACTGTGGCGGCCATCTTGAATTGGATTTACTCCTAAATGTTAATCAGTTGTAGAGGCAGATCGAATGATTACTTTGTGAGGTTCACGGTTCATGAATATTTTGCTAACAGGACAGAAACAAGCGCACAGACAAAAACGTGATCGCCCGTTCACTTCCAGCAGATGCTGATAATTAGAGGTAGATTAAATCCTTAGAGTATCAGCCCATGAGCTTAAGGTTTTATTTGAAAGTGCTCAGTCAGTTTTTTTTTTTTATTGCACACATAAAGACTGTTTTTATTTTTATACACTGTCGGTGACATATTACGGTATAGTCTACGTTTGAACGTCCCCACGACTTCGGATCCACTCCAGATAATTTAACAAAGTTTCAAAAACATTTATCACTAGACTGAGAGTCACATCCACTTTTCAGCAATCCAGCTACAAGGTCAAGGTCACAAATCAAGGTCAAACGTTATGCAAGGTCGATGCATGTCCGGGTCATTGCTATAGATTGCTGTATAATAGTTTGTTGACGGGCGTATAACGTGGCGTATGCAGTACTCTCGTTGTTCTGTGTTTTAAAACTTTTTTTGTGTGTTTTACTCTGCGTGAGGTTGAGCTTCTCCAACGTCAAAGAATTCCTGAACCTGGACAGATTTTGGTTGTAAAACTTTTTTTTTTTCTCATGGTTTGTCTCAAAACTTGAAAAAATGAACAGAGAATTGTTTTCACTTTGATTAAAGTCAAAAGTTTTCATTTGAATGTTACCTCAAAGGTCCTTTTTTAAATATTCCGATTATAAAATCTTTAATTTAATTTATTTATTAGGCAAACGGGTGGTGTTTAAGTAAATGTTTCTATCCTTTGTTTATTTGACTCTTTTTGTATCCTGTTGTTCTCGGTGTCATGCTTCCGTCTCTTCCTCCTCAGTTTTCCTAAAAACAAATGTAACGTCTCCCAGCGTTGTTTGTGAGCTCCGTTTCTTCCTGTTGTGACTGTTTGCTTCCTGCTGCCGCTGTTGTTGTTGTTGTGGTCGTCTCTGGTCGTGTTGATTGACACGCTGCTGCTCTTGCTGTTGTTGTGCTTCTGTTTGCAGACGGTCTGGTTTGATCTGCACCAGAGACTAACAGATACAGACGGCACACCGAGCGCAGTGAGTAAACCAAACACCCGATGAATATATGTTGAGCGTTAGGCTGCAGCGCACGGCTCACTTTTGTTAAACCATCACTGTAATACCTGCCACGTTCAGACGTGCCTCGTGCATGATCTGCACCATTTAAAAATAATGCTGAGGTCAGTGAACGCATCATGAATGCGACCTTTGAATCATTTTCCTGGAAACTCGAGCGTCTCGTCTGACCCCCTGGACTAGAATAAGTTACAGAAGCTTCTCTCTATGAAATATCAGAACTTTTCACACTTTTAAAAAAAATATCCAACACCTAAAAATTTAAAAAAATTCTGTTTCACTGGGCTGTGACTGGTGGTAACTGGCTGGTGAATAGCATTAATAAAGGAGTCTCCAAAATGTCTCAAAACGGTTGTGAGGATTCTCCATTTCCGCACTTTTCTCAGAGGCTCACAGACTCATTAAATTAAATTTATTTTAACTATTATATAATTTGTGCAACAATATTTCTCTGGAGTCAACGTGGCGTCTCGAGAACTCTGGATCTGAATTTTAACTCCTTCAGAGGAGCTTAAAATACCTGAGGCTTCAGCTGAATGTCCAGCTCTACGGAAGAAAACGAGAGAAGTTTTCTGAGCGCTGAATGGCGGCTGATGAAATATGCTGAAGCTGAGTTGTGTTAAAAGAAGCTAAACACTAGCTAAAAGCTAAAAAAAAAAGTAGCTAGATGTAGAAACTAGAAAAAAGGATGAGTAAAAGCTAAGAAAAAAGCCAACTAGTAGCTAAAAGTAAAGTATCAAAAGACCTTTAGCAAGTTTAAATTAACGACTAGCTGAAGGGATCAGAAGGCCAGCTGGAAGCTAATTGTAGCAAACGGCTGAAGCTAAAAGTTGCAAAAGGATATCAAAAAGGTATTCGGAATAAAAGCTAAGTGTTGTGAGCCAAAACTAGCAGAACAATAGCTAAAAGTTTGCTGCCCTTGTCCAAACATGTTTGGCACGTGTTGCTGACAAAAAATTTAAATAACCTCATGTTTTCCCCTAATCTGGGACAATTTTATTAGTTTCAGTATTTTATACGTTTGTTAGAGGCCTGAGGTTGTGGGTTCGAGCCCAGGTTGCATCAGGAAGAACAGCTGATGTCGCAATGCATCAATTTATTCGTCAAATTTTCTGTAGCTGTGTGACGCCTGCAGATGGAAGCAGCTGATAACATAATTAATGAAAGTCTTTTTGTTTTCTTGACATTTAAAACATTAAATGTTTAGAAATATTAGTCATGCGTACAAATAAGATTCCCACTTCCCTCGATTTTAATCATGGGTGTAAACTCCGAATCCAGAAAGCCTGTTTGAGCGAGAACTAACGTCTGACGCAGCAGCAGGACAGCAGAAGCAAACTTTAACTGGATGTGACGTATTCATCAGTAAAGAGGAGAAACGGTCGATTTTATTTGTTTTCTGATTTAAATGATGAACAGAATAAACTGAGATGGAGGGTAAAGGAAGCAGCAAATAAAAAATGTGCCAGTCCTGCTGGAGATCAGCTAAAGTGGAGCTACGGCTAATTATCGCCTCGTACCAGAAAATCCAACCAATCGTTGCAGGGCTGAAGCTTTTTAGCTCCCTCAGTTAAACCTGAGATTTTATTTTTAAATATATGAACTTACAAGCTGTAGGAAATCTGTATAATGCAAAAATCTGCAACCATTAAATTCTAACACCCTAATTAGACTAAAGCTAAACTTGCATTAACAAGTTTTTCACTTTCTCGCTCCACATTTTGCCTTAATAGCAATTTCTGTAGGAAAAGGTGTGCACGTGCTTCTGTATTGTTTCTGCCCGTGGCCTCAGATCCTCTCCAGTCTGCAGGAGACCCGGGTGATAATCACAGATTGCGCTTTTGCCCACAGCGGTCGAGCCACTTATGGTTTCCCATTAGCTGCTGAGAAGCCATGAGAGGCAGACTAAATGGTCTTGTTGTCATGGCCACAGACACAGAAAGGCTGCTTTTATTATTCGGCTCTTTTTTTGTTTGTTTTCTTGCTATTTGAAAATGACTGGAGAGGGAAATGAGAGGAAGGAAATGAGATGAGGTAAAAGTCCAAATGGCCTTAGGTCAAAAACTGAATGTTGGTCATATTTAAGCTTCTGTGTGGTTCTGAAAGGCTTATTTTTAGATCTGACCCAAGATGCTGTGAACTCTGATTTACTTTAAAAATATCTTCAAGAAAACAAGACTTGTCCAAATTGTTCTGGACGCTCCAGAATCAAATCAGAGCTTTTATACCCTGGAATGAAGAGCTAGTTCTGGCCAAAGAAAACTAGAAAGCTATTTCGAAACTTTTGAAAATGTACAAAAACTCAAGTCAAACGCAGAAATAAACAAGTTGGTTTGCTCAAACTCCATCTCTGACATAAAATATGTAGCTGCAGCTCAATGAGTTAATGAGCTTCATTTTTTTTTCAGTTACTTATCAGGATTTTATTGGAAGGAACCCCTACATTTAAATTCTCTCCTTAATAATAAAATCATATTTTTATGCTTTATGATCCAGTAGTTTTTGATAACTGTGCAGAACTCTGTATTCCCTTCATTAATTAGTCTGAAATATGTTTTAAAAATATAAACTTTATGGTGGAGTTAAAGATGGACCTCATTTGTAAGCAGTATCTTCTAAACTGCTAAACATATTTTATTTAAACTTTTGGAAAATAATAAAGACACAGCAACAGCTGAGCCAAAACACAAACATGACTGTAATTCAGTTCTTTTAACATGCGATAGTTTAATCAGTCTGAATAAATTAACTTAAATAATGTTATTTTCCTGGGAGTAATATCATAATTACATTAAAACACATTTTGACACTGTTTGTGTGACATTTATTGACCGATAGGAAAATATTAAGTTATGGTGAATATGAATGGTGAAAGATGTTCAGAAGTAAAGGTGAAGTAAACAACAAAGTAACGTCATATGAATAAGAAAGATGAGGCTTTGAGGCAAAAGTGGGATTTTAATCTGTTAGCGGTTATTAACGTGGCGAAATTACACCAACAAAAGACCATCAAAGACGTTGTTTCTCCATATGTTTAGTTTTATTTTGTTATTCGAGGCCTGACATCCTGTTAGGCAAGAAACAGGTGTTTAGGTTCAGTTTTGAACGGTGGAAGTTAATGGAGTCTTCATCCATCTTTGTCTAAATCTAAATCTTGATGAAAACCTCTAAATCAGTGGACACTTTAATAAATTTTATTTAAAAATAAAACCAAAGGTGATCACAATACAAATGTTCTTTTCTTTTTTTTGGAGGGGCACATAAACTTGTCTTCACAGTTTTTTTTAATGCACCGACTCTTGTTTTATTTCCTAAACAAATTTAAGTCGTGTTTAAAATTCAAGCACGTTGATTATTCTGATTCAAACACATCCTTAAAGGCACAACTGCCACTACTGATGTGGTAAATATTTATTCTTTTGATTTTCTTTAATTTTTTTTTTCACCTTGTTGCATAAAAAAAATGCATTTAAAGGTCAAACATATTTCCACAGGCCTTCAGAAATCACCTGCACCTGTTTAACCGCAGCAAAGTGCCTCATCAATAAAGGATATTTTTAATACAATGATTTCCACGCTCGCTTCGCTCCACTGATTAAACACGACCCGCTCGCAGGTCGCAGCGTCTGCTTAACAAGCTGTAAACACAAACACTCCCGAGAGCAGGCGGCAATCAATCATCTATTCGTTTCCTTAATTTCTACAGAAACAGCTGCTGGAATAAAAAGTACCCTTGTTTTACTGGAGTACTTTAGTAATCTTGTTTTACTGGATTATTAGGAACGATCGGTGCAGCATCCAGCCTCTGTCTCTCCTCACGTAAGCGCGCCGCTGCTGATCTCCACTTGTCATGTTGGTGCTTGTTACCCAGTGCTTCACATGCACGCCCAACCACTGTAAACTGGTGTACAGTGCAGACACTGGTTTCTTCCCACCGCACACTCTGTCCCTACATCCTCTGTCGTGGAGAGAGCGCCACACTTTAGCAGTTGGACTCCTCCGTGCACGATGTCTGTGCAATCTCCAGGAGTTTTCGTCCATTCGACTATATTTAATGTCCGTCTTGAAGACTTGTGCGGATGGATGAATTTTCAGACTTCCTCATCTAACCGCTCCTCAAATCTGTCCATGCTGGTTGCACGCACAACAGCCAGTTTCTGGAAGAGGAGTTGTATCCAGATGACATCATTGCTGCCTGATTTGGTCAGCCATTGTGGTCAGATTCAGTCTGGGCCTTGTGTCGAGAAGCAGCAGATGGATCTACTACCAGAACAAAATGATGTGATTTTCTTCTTGCAACTACATCAATGAGAGACAATTTCTCTTGCCTCGGATGGAGTATGCAACAACCTTTAATTTCTCCTCCACTGCTGCATCTCACCCTCTCTCCCCTCAAATGAGTACTTTTTGAGTGTTCTGGTCCGATGCAACACCCGACTCATGAGCGAGGTCGTGATCCGCCTCACTTTTATGTAATTTCATCCCTGACCTTCGTTTCTCCACCAGGAGAAAAGCTCAGATGTGATTACCCATCATCTCTCCTCCCCTTTCAGTCTCCCCCCTCCACCACCACAGAATCATGCATCCACAGCGAGCATCATAATGAAATCACACCCTCTGTGATGCATTCACAGACCCTTTTAGACTGCAGGAGGATCAGCGTGGACGTCTTACTTCAGGTGGACACTTGTGAGCGACTGCTGACGGGTTTTTAGGGGGGGGTTGAGTTGAAGGAGGTAAAATCAATCACTCGGAGTGTATCCTGACAGTCTTCTTATCCTCAGTAGACGTGTCTGAGAGGAGAAGCAATAAAACCAGAGTTGATGGAGAACAAAATAAGGAGAGAATATCAGGTGAGTGAGATCAAGGGGCAGATTCTGAAGCAATAAAAGAAAGATAATAGAGACTGAAAGAGGAACACAAGTGTGGCCTCTATTTTTTTTTTTTAACAACGCTTTTGA